TCCCCTCGCCCGGCGGTGCCTCTGAAGCAAAGCGCAGGCAGAAAACCTGGGTAAGTTCTCCATTTAAAAATATTAAAAATAGACCCTCCGGCTCCATAGCACTGCCGAGTGAGTCATTTCCAAACCAAATGTCTCGGTCTAACCCTTCCCCCCAGGAGACACAATAATTCTGAAACCGGGGGTGAAGTGAAAGAGATTTTTCTCCCCTCTTTTTCTAAATAAACTGAATTGGTACATAGCCGCTGCAAGAGGAGACAAAAGCTGTGAGTAGCAGGCCGCCTGTTTAAAAAAGTGAAGTGCAGTTCCATCTCTTTCTCCCTTCCCTCGGGCCTCTCCCCCATGGTGATGCCACCCGTGTTTCCCTGACAAGCGCTCAGAGCCTCTCTGCCCTAGGAATATTTACAGTGCTTTCCATTTTCGCGGACGAAGTCTACTTTTAGGTTCCTTCAACTGCCAAACCTGTCCACTGCCACATTCTTCTCTGCGGAACATCAGCCACAGCCACGCATCATGCCAGAGGTGACCCCGGTCAACACAGCATAGCTCCTGGCTGTCTATGCTGAAAAGAATAGTCCAAAGCGCAGCTCTTTTTTTTCTGCCTTTTCCAGTCATATGATGATTTGTTCATGTAAGAGGGCTGTCTCGACTAGAGGCATTTTTTGTTTGTCAGCAACAAGTGCCGAGCGTATTTATAGGCCATGCTGCAATTTTGTGGTATGAAAGGTTTCAGTTATGCAGAATTCATCGGTACCTGGATCAGTGTGCAAGAGCTGTTTACGTCTTGCATATAGTGCTGTATTTGCATGCATACTTAATGTATATACACATACATCTTATTTCATTCTTGAGAATGCACAAGACCCAGAAGCTGATGTGTAGGCTACGTAGTTTTTTTTCTAAAACAGATGCCATAGTCCAACTGTGGAGTAGTCCCTAATGGTGTAGATAGGTCAGTGGAGGCAAGACATTGTGCTCTCCCGATAAACTCGTTTCCTGAAACTAGGAAACCAACTAGCTCGGGGTAAAATCCTGTCCCCTGTGAAGAACTTTGTTAGCATTTTGGCAATAAAAAATGACCTATAGCTGAAAATATGTGCAGTAAGTTATGCCAGCTATTTTACAGCCATGTGAAGGATATTAGGTTTGAGAGCATAATCTGTGGTAGCAACCCAAATCTAATGGCATTTCTATGTAGGTAAGTGGAGAATCGTGATGTAAAAGCACTTGCATTCTTTTTTTTGCTGTTTAGAGTCAATTTCTCCTGTTAAAGCTATTTATATTTTTTACAGCCAAGAGAGACCGTTGTGAGTGATTGACCTGTCACACAGGGTGCAGAGCGCTGAGAGATTCCTACAGAAGTTTTGCGACTTTTAGCTCTAACATGTAAGAGATTCATGAACTTAAAAGTGCTACCAAAGTACTGAACTAAAAAAAGAAAATTATTCTCTTGTGTTCCAAAACACAAGAAAAAGCAGACTTCACATCCCAAGTAAATGAAAATTTCACAGTAATCTAAGACAATGTATGCTCTTGATACACAGTTCACGGACAACGTATGGCATTCTTGCTAAGATTTTAGTGCCATGGGCTTCTATAACATATCGGAGGGAGGAAAATTCTTGGACTTGGGTCAATAAACAGCTACTTTTTGGTGAAGCTAGGAAGAAACTTTTCCAGAGGCAGATTGTTCTGTGGTTGTCTATGATGGGGGTGTCCGGAATCTCTGGTTGAAATAGCTGTCAAGTCAGGTACGGTGGATTGCACTGGGTTCTACATGGATGGTACCTGCAAGTTGGCAGTGCCAAGAGTGGGCAGGGAAGTTCAAGCACACTCAAGCCCATATGGGAGTCTTTTTTGCTATGTCAATTTAATAGCAATATTTCCTTTTGGCAGTTTTACAGCAGAGTCAAGGTGACAGTTTTGCATTTGTCTTCGGCCTTCAAGATAAAATTCTTTGTAATTATGCAGTGTGTTTATGGGCTGTCTGATGTCAGCTGAGACTCTGATAAGGCTTCCAATGTTCACTTTCAAAGTTCAGCTGGAACACAGGTAGTGTTTACTGACTCCTCAATCCCTTTTGGAAGAATTTCAGTTCCTTAAATTTCCAGCAACCTGTGTCTTTACACAGAATAGGTAAGATCTTTAACCTTTTATTTGAGAAGTTAAGTA